CATTTATTGACATTAAGGGAAAGGCGCGATTGGAGGCACCAAGCATGCAAGTTATCAAGCCCTGTTTGAAGTTTGAGCATGTCGGCAGTGTTCGTTATATTCGAGAATATTTTCAAATCGTCGGCGTATAACAAATAATTTGAAAAAGAGAAGCATGAACTAATGTCATGTATAAACAAAACAAAAAGCATTGGCCCGATAATACTACCTTGTGGCATGCCCAAGGTCGCGACAAAGATATCAGACGAAAAATGGTCTACCTCATCGCCTGGAACACAAATACGACTTAAGCCAGTTTAAGAAGACAGAATGGAAACCTAGGCGTTCGAGTTTCGCGACTAAAATTCTATGCGACACCTTGTCGAAAGCCTTCGAAATACAATATTCACTAAAGACCGCAAGATTTGAGACCATGGAGCGCCCAGGTACAAAACCATGTTGGTTTGGGCAAATAAGGCTCTTGACCGAGAAATAGCGATGCATTCGAACAGTTTAGACACGGTAGACAGTTTAGAAATCGGTCTACAGTTACTAATGTCGTTTTTGTTTCCGCTTTTGAAAATTGGAGTTATAGAGGCCAATTTCCAAGCATCTAAAAATACCCCAGTAGAAAGAGACTTGTCAAAGATAATTTTTAATGGAAGGATCAGTGCTGAACAGTTTTTTAATAAAAGTGCGGATACTCCATCAATGTCAGTTCTTGCGGAAGTCTTCAGATCAACAACACCTTTCACTACATCAACGTATGAGAGGTATAGGGAACCAAAGCCAAATGAGGAACTAACACCGGATGCAGGGCCAATATCAAGATTTGTGTCTAAATCACATTCGAAATTGGATTTGAAGAAATCAGCGAACAGATTAGCAACATCAGCGGGAGTATCCGCAGATTTATTATTGAGGAAAACTGAAGAGTGAATAGTAGAACATGATTTTTTTAGATTTAACAAAATTCCAGAAGGGTTTGGGGTTAGATTTAATATTAAGTTCGAAATTAAGGACAAAATTTTTGTGGAGTCAAGTTTGCGATAGGTTAAGACTAACTAAATTATCAATAAGATAAGATTCAGGAAAGGAAGAGATATTAGGATAAGCCCATTGGTAGAATAACTATTTGACCACTTAACATTACTAAGATTAAAACCGCCGAATACACAGATAAAATTGTCCCCCATCGTATTGTGAACAAAAAACGTAATGTTGTCAGCATGAGCTCTATATAGGCTATCCACACTATTTGGTGGAATATACGACGCAAATAAAAACAAAGAACCAGAAGTTGATGACCCATCAACACGAACGCAAAGCTGATCCAGTAGTGAGTCAATGTTATTCAGGTTGATCAATGAAGCGCGGAATTTTCGATTCACTGCAATCAAGACGCCTTCGCCCCTGGAGCGACCAGTCTTAGCAGCGTCTCTTTCTTTCCGGAAGACAACAAAGAGCATGGGGTCGAAAAATTCCGTATCGAAAAAATCGGAAGTAAGCCATGTTTCAACAATAACGGAAATATCGAAGTCCTGTTGGGAGCTGAATGACATAACCACATCAGATTTGGATCTTAATCCGGAGATATTTTGAAAATATATTCTTAAAATTTTACAATTCTTAAGCATATCTGAATTAGCTTGTGGCGTAGTGTTGTTAACTGTGTTCCTTACGGCCATCCTTGGGGAAAAAACGAAACGGGCGAACATTAACGCCACCCGGCCACAGATCAGAGGAAAGCAGCTTAGCGAACAGTGCAGACGAAATTCCAAGTTTGAAATTCACCCATTTGACAGCGTTTTCGGGAGCATCTTTTTTAATTTATTTGTAGCAAACAAGCTGGTTCCTATTAATGCCCGCGTGCTGTACGACATAGTCGATAATATTATCAGGCAATACAGTAGACTGGAACGAAGAAAGATGAAGCCATATCATTCGCGCAACCCCTAACCCTAACAGAAGCTGCACGCTTCCTAGGGCTGCCGTTAGTGGAACATGACGACAACGACTGAGATACCAACCGTCCTGGGCGGGGTTGTTGTAGCCGCTACAACAACAACAACACCAGCAACCCCTAAATCTGAACAGGAGTTGCAGCCAACAATATTGAATGTTTTGCGAGGTCTAGGCAGCGCCGCCAAGGCAGTAGCAGAATTATCCGGCAAGTTGATCCCAGGAGAATGGACGCCGCCACTACTACCAGCGATAGTAGCATAAGTTCGTGCATCAGCACCACCAGCAACGTCTCCAGAAGCAGCAGCAGGTGTAACACACCGCCACTGGTCCAAGCAATATCCGGGTATGTTCGTGCATCAGCACCTCCCGCAACGTCCCCAGCAGCAGCAGCAGGTGTCGAGCGAGGCGAATGCACATGACCAGCAATGGGAAGTTTATCGGTTTGCTTGACATCAGAACGCGCGGGCTTTAAACTAACCTTAACTTTGCGCACCTTAGCATTGGCAGCACCAACCCCAGCAGCAGCAGAAGACAAATTCAAAATATTACTGTTGCTCACAGCATGTGGCAATGGATTAACAGCAGTATTATGGTGATGAGTAACAGTACCAGACCCACAAGAAATCGCGTCGCCACAGGTACCACCAATAGCACGGCAAATTCGTGTATCAGCACCACCAGCAACGTCGCCAGCAGCAGGTGTTGAGCGAGGCGATTGGAAATTACCAGCAATGGGCAGTTTATCGGGTTTCTTAACATCAGAACGCGCGGGAATCAGGCCGACCTTAGTTTTATGCGCCTTAGCATTGGTAGCAACAGCACCAGCAGCAACATCGCCTGCGTCACAATCAGCATCAGAAGACAAAATCACAATAGGAGCGTTCCTTATCTCCCAGAAATAGTCAGAAAAAGTCCGAAGTAGTCAGATTTAGTCCAAAAAGCGTTCCTTAACTCGGAAATGACAGCAAAAATGAGAGAGCAACACTCGGTGAGAGTGACTCTCATCAGTCCGAAGTAGTCAGATTTAGTCAGAAGAATTTTTTCTGGCAAAATCCTGAAAAGTGTTAAACTCAACTGAATTTAAATTAACGGAAATTAAAGAATACGCAAAAAGTGAGAATAATCTAAAAAGTAAAAAAAGTGAATTGAAATTGGAAGGAGGCAAAAAATAATATAGTAAGTGTTTATATTGCTTGTGCTTGTGTGAATGTGTTTTGCACATAAATTTCCATTCTTATTTGACGTTAGCTTTGTTGTTGCCATTCTTTGGACTAAAAATTTGGTTTTTTGCGTTCCTTTACTTTTCGTGTTATTCTCTTTTAGTGAGCGCATTTTGCTTACGCTCTGGCATTTTGACACTTTTCAGATTTTAGTCCAAAAAGATAAGGAATGAACCTAATATTAGTTGTGTTTTCGCATTCTCCAGCATTTGGTAATTGGTTAACAGCAGTATTATGTGATGAAAAACAGCGGCATTCTTGTTCTTATCCTCTGCTAACGATTTAATTTCACTGCAGAGCTTTTCATTTACACTCCGAAAATTGTCAGTTTATTTTGTCAGGTCTTCAGCAAGCACTCTCACTTTCGCTATTGTTGTTGTTAGTACTTCTGTTTTTCTAACGAATAGCTCTTGGTGCAATTTTTATGTTCGCCAGTTTCTATAGAACGTATTAATTGCTTTATTTTATATAGGTATAATGTTCATATATCGTCGGTGATACTGCAAAACTGTATATGTATGTTAGTACAACCTAATAAACGAATCACAAAACTGTCTACCTTTGGCAGATGAAGATGAACGGTTGCCAGAAGCGATCAGATACAGATAACAGATCTATTAACCACCAGAGGTAATAAGTGACATAGAACGTTTTGCAGTATCACCGACGATATGTATGTTACTCTAGCTCCAATTGTTTAAACAAGTAACCTACGTGTAAATAATCTTTGGATAGAACATAATAATTTTATGGAAAAAGTAAAATGGCAGCGTTTAAGTCAGATATTAACAGCTTTTGCACTGGGTCTGATGAGCACGGCGAGCGCTAACATCAAGTGGTCCTCCCATTTAAAATGAGGTAGTAAATACTTGTTACACAAAAATATTTTAACTTATTTTAATTAAAACAACAACCCTGCAAACCATTTTTTAGAGTATTCTGAATCGTAGAGAAATTTTAATGAATTCGTAAAGATCCCATCCGATTTTTTGCCATTTTTTTTTCAAATTAAATAAACTGGACATCATGTAACTCAGATTCTGATCACAACGATGATTCCGATGCTGATTTTATACTTCCCGAACCATCAGGCCCGAAAAGAGCAAGAGTTACATATAAAAACGAAATATAAAATAAAGCACAAAAAGTTGGGACATATTTTTATTTTCTGTGGACTTACAGATTCTCTGTACAAAGATTTTGTCTGAGACCCCTAGTGAAATTTTACGGCAAATAATTTCCTACAAGATTTTCACCCTCTAGCGACCTACAAATTGACATTTTATTCGGACTATCTAAACAGGGGGCAAAAACGACCCTTATGTGAGGGGGATAACGGGTTAAAATATTCTACAAAATTACTCCTCGTAAAAGTTTACTATATGTCCCGAAACAACATATTTCTCTCCGATATGTATTTTGACTCTTTTTACAGTTTATTCTAATTTAAAGACACTTGGCAAAATATTGCAAATTTAAAATGGCCATAGCAAAAAACAATTAGAAAAGAATGGAAAACGATTTTGAGGTTTCACTATATGGATCATGGTCTTTTATCCAGAGTTGGAATCATTCCGCCCCCAGAAAAATGACCCTGAAATTATTGCACAGTGTAACAAAAGAAAAAAGAGTGACTATTTGTGTTTCTTCACATCCTGGTAGTTTTATTAGAAAATTCGTGATAGTTTTGCTAAAGCACACTCATGTCCATGTAAGCCATGTAAATGTATGTAAAGCCAAAACTAATTTTTTTTTGGTCCTCGAGAGGGTGAAAGTTTTCATGCATACTCGCAATGTTCGTTAATGGCTACGTTACTATCTATCCCACATACTTACTATAATTTCTTCCTTTATCGAATAATCAGACTTATCTTCGAGTTCAGTATCTGATTTGTGTGTTTCCAATACTTCAACAGTTTCAAAACCTGTTAACATATGTCCATCAACATCGGCATCCTATAAATACACATACATATATAAAACCTTTTGTAATCCAAATAGCTCGCACACCACTGGGAAAATAGCACCTTACGAGGTAAGCCAAGTTTGCTTTCAGTTTTTAGTACCAAAATGGTTGTTGTTGTTGTTGTTGTAGCGGCTACTAAGCCCCGTCCGGGTCGGTTCATCCATCAACGTTGTCGTCAACTTCAGCTAGGGGGAGGCCCAGGAAGTGTGCGACTTTCACAGGGGATAGGGGCGTCAGCTGAGTGGGGTTCTCAAGGCATGTGAAGAGGTGCCGGGAGTCATGTGGCGACTCTCCACATGCCGGGCATTGGTTGGGCACATCCTCGTTGATTCTACTTAGGTAAGAGTTTAGCCTGCTGCAATAGCCGACGCTCTGAAAGTATTCAACTCGGAACCCGCAGGTGGTAGCAGATTAAGAGGGAGGCCCCCACTGCGATGGAAAGATCAGGTGGAGGACTTGGCTTCACCTGGCGTTTCCAATTGGCGTCAGTTGGCACAGAGGAGAAACGACTGGCGTGCTTTGCTGAACTCAGCCAAAATCGCTTAGGGTTGGACAACGACCTCAAGGTTGACCAAAGCGTGCTCACACCAGAGGCGAAGTTGCAGGTCTTCAAATGCTCTTCCCATTTCTTCCGCTTATGTACGTTCACAAGTTGCCGAATCTCCGAATTGAGATCCCTGATACGGGGATTTCTGTGATCTGCCTGACGAAGGTTGTCGCGCTCATCGGCTAGAACAGTCGCTTCAGCAGGAAAGTTCGGACGTGGATCCTTAATACATCCTGCTGGGATGAAGCGAGCTGCAGCAACGTTGACAACCCTGCGGAACTTACGTTCACCTACATGAACGTCGGTTGGTATGGGCAGTGCAGTGAAGGCGCCCTCAGTAACATCCGTGAAGCCTTTCCAGTCAGCTTTGAAAAGTTGACATTAGTCCGGTGATCCACGGAAGCAAAGTCGGCAGGTTTATCAATCGAGATGACTATGGGCAGATGGTCTGATGCTAGAGTCAGCATAGGTCGCCATGATTTGCTGTTTATCAGACCAGCGCTGACAATTGTTAGATCTGGCGAGCTGCAGCAGCTGCCCATAATCCTGGTGGGTGCGTCGTCGTTTATTGTGCAGAATGTCGAATGTATTCCCCTACGATCATTTTAGAGGCTTGAGTGCCAAAGATCGTGGTGCGCGTTAAAGTCACCAACTACGATACGGTTTTCACCTCTGAGTAGCGCACCTATTTCAGAGTGATATCCTGCCGAACAGCTAGTGACATGGGGTATGTATACGTTAAATATTTCCAGCTGAACATCTCCTGTCCGGATATCAATACCCTGACATTCTAGGATGGTATCCCTGCGGTCGATGTCTGCTTCAATAAGGCGATACTGCACGGTGAAACATTGAAACATATGCGTTTGAAATCGACGCATTGCTCGCCGCTCCCTATCTTTTGACCCTTACACTTTACCCGGCGGTCCTTCGGCGGCAAGTTATTTTGCAACTGACAACGTAATGCGTCGTTGTTGTTGTTGTAGCAGCATACAAATTCCCCAAAGACTTTTTGGGGAGTGTTGCTGGAGTGACAGTCCTTGGCCAGATATAAATCTGGGTCGTTCCGGTTACGCAGACCAGACTGTCGTGGGAACGTAATGCGTCGTCGTAGGTGTTCATTTTGTGCTTTACTAGTAGATGACATTGGTCATGATGAAAATTCTGGTACTAAAAACTGAAGAAAACATGGCTTACCTATATTCCCAGTGGGATGTGTAATCCGTAACTATCCTGTACCTTTGAATGCGAATCAGTTTCACTGCTGTAACCTTCCTGAAAACCCAGCGAAATATCCTCAACGTCTTCCTTTAATTCAGTTTCCAGGAATTCCACAGAATGATCCTCGAATATATGCTCAATCAAGTTGTTTAACTCAAGAAATGTAAGCTCACAAAACCCACAATTCAGAAAAAATTCTTTCTTCCCTGCTGGCAAAAAAGTCGATATTTCTCCGCATTTTTTAAAAGCACAGTTATTTCGGTCAATTTCAAGAGCCATTGGTAATGAGGAAAATTATTACATTAGAATAACCATTGATGATAAATAACAAATGGATTTAAAAAAATTCTTTCTTTTGTAGAAGGATGGCAAAGTCGACATCGACTTTCCAACAAAATCGATTTTTTTATATGCCGACGTTTAATAAAGCTGCCTTTACACGCGACGATTTTAGAGGCGATTCAACGTTGTTCTGGAAATTTATAGTTGCGTTGTAGGTGCTCACGTTATTCACGATTTGCAGTTTTTTTCAGGAAAGTGTTCCAGGTGCCAAACAAAACTGTAAGTCAAACAACTTTTGTGGGAGTAAGGCTATCTGCACACTTGTCGTCCAATTATCGTGGCGTTATTGTTTCGCCCTGAAATTTTGAGCCGCACATGCATCTCAAAGGAGATCTGCACACTCGTCGTTATCGACTAGTTATCGGCAAATCGTAGAAGAAGCAGAAACGCATAAGTATGGCACTGTCGTTTGTTAATCGTTGCGCTCGCATTACATTTTATGCTGAAAAACTAGTGAAAAATTTAATATTTGCATTAAAATTGCATAAAAATTAGTATTTTTTGCATAAAACCTGTGGAAATTATTAAAAAGTAGATAATTGCATTAAAATTCAGTAAATTTGAACATTTTAACTATAAAATATGACGAAATTTAAAAAAGTCTCTGTAAGCATGCACAAAACACATATCAGGAAAAGAAAAGAAGACATATTACTGAATATCGTGAAGCATCTGGAACGCAACGCATACAAATCTCATAATTGATTAAAAATCGAATGTCGATTCTCGAATTTTTTCATCGATTCTCGGATCGAATTAGTACTAAAAAATCGACGAAAAATTGAATCGGAAGTCTCGATTAATCTATACTCGATTAAATCGATTTAAAAACGCCATTTCTACTATAAACAATTTGTTTACATTGTATTTTTTCATAATATAAATTAAGCAATTGTTTTCATTAGCAATGGCTCTGAAAATTGGCATAAACAATTGTCATATAAAAAAATGCGGGGAAATAGAAGCGTTGATGCCGATAGAAAAGAAAGAATTTTTTCTGAATTGTGGGTTTTGTGAATTTACGTTTCTTCAATTAGACAAATTTATAGATCATATATACGAGGACCATTCGATCGAATTCCTGTATCCTGAAATTAAGCAAAGAGTTGAAGGTATTCCTCAAAAATTGCAGCAAAGTTTCAGTAATGAGACTGTATCGCATTCAAAGGTAGAGGTTAGTTAAAGAACTCGCATACGAGCTATGTACATATTTTAATTACAAAAGGATTAATATTTACATATTTTTAGGAGGAAGCTGTTGAAGTATTGGAAATACACAAATCGGATATTGGGCTCGAAGATAAATCTGATTACTCAATAAAGGAAGAAATTATCGTAAGTATTTAGATGTAATGTCAGTAATGATGGGTTGACTTTAGTGTACAACGACATGTGTGTTGAGAGTCGCCGCATGACTCCCGGCACCTCTTCACATGCCCTGAGAACCCTACTCAGCTAATGCCCCTGTCCCTATGGACCGCCCCTGTGGAAGTCTCACACTTCCTGGGCCTCCCCCTAGCTGAAATTGACGACAACGTTGATGGATGAACCGCCCCAAACGGGTATTAGTAGCCGCTACAAAAACAACAACAACCACAGCACAACAACTTAACCAACACAATAGACCATATCACAACCACGACAGACCACGGAACACACAACCGCACCACTACCCGCACGCCGCCGCCAACAACTCTTAGTTCCTCCTACAATCTGCACGGTATGTCAGTCCAGGATATCCCGTAATGTGACATCAGTCAAGTGCAACACCTGCCTTGGCTGGTCCCACTTTAGAGCATGCTCAGGTCTGCGCAACACGCGAGATTGGACGAGGAGCTTCGAGGGCCAGTGTTGCGCTGCTCGGTCGCAGATCTCAACTGCCACGCCTCCCGCCACCACCACAGGGCGGCAACCACCTCAGCAGCGCACACAGCCAACGGCGTCACGACCACACACATCCCCCACATCTCGCATCACCACACGTCTCCCGAACCACATGAAGCTCCTTCAATTTAACTGTAACGGGCTTCAGAGCAAGATCGAGGAGATAACAGGTCTTCATAGAAAAGCATGGCATATTGATAGCTGCGGTCCAAGAGACGAAGTTGCACAGCAATTCAACATCAAGGTCCTCAAGTCGCTAGCCGGCAGCACTTGGGGCAAAGACAAAGAAACGTTGCTGGCAACATACCAGAGTTGTGAAAAATGCATTAAATTTTTTAATGCAGAGCATTTTAATGTAAATGAAAAAGATTAATGCATTAATTTTTGATATTTAATGTAAATGAAAATTTCAATGCATTAATTCCGAAGAAATAATGCTAATGATTTTTTTGTATTAACATTAAAATGTTGAAATGAATGCTATTGCATTAATTTATTGCATTAAAATTATAACAAGCATTAAAACCCATTAACTAATTTTATTTTGAAGTTAAAATTCTTTGCTGATGTTGACGGTAGAATTTTAAGGTCAAAAAAGATAGTGACGGACGTTAAGGCTGGTTTGCACTATGTCAAGTTCAATGGCATTTGTCGTTAAATAGGTAAAATCACATTGTCAAAGCTATAAAACGGTTTATTGATTGATTTAGATCAGAATAGGTCCTCAGTCGTGTACATGCGCTGCTAAACTGGCTATCTGTCCGTTTTTGACTCATATTTAATATATATAATCGGTATGCACCAACAATCAACATAAAAATCTACAAAAGCACTCTGCATGCACATTGGCTTTCATTTTCATAAAACATCTAACAATGTCTAGAAGAATTTTTCTACAAATACACATAATATAATGAAGCTGAAAAAACTATTAGTAATTATTCCAAGTCCTTCCAAAAGAGGTTATTTATATTTTACTAGAAAAAAAAAGTTAATGGTTTTTAATAATGCAAACGAGCAAAAGCATTAAACATTTTAGTGCATTAAAATTTTTTCATTAGCATTAGCTTGGATAATTTAATAAAAAAAAAAATTTCATTAGCATTACATTTTTCAGAATTAATGCATTGAAATATTCATTTGCATTAAATTTCATAAATTAATGCATTAATTTTTTACATTAAACATTATTGCAAAAATTAATGCATTTTTCACAACTCTGCAACATACAATGCAATAGACCGGCCGGTTTTAAACTACGCAGCACCAGTGTGGTCGCCGGGGACTAGTAGGACGCAGTGGATGAAGCTATAAAAGGAAAATTTGCTAAGTCCAAAAGAAGCACCACAAATCCGATAAGGCCAAAATAATACGACATCTTTTAATAAATATCGAATCCTTCTGATTCTTATGGAGTTTTGCTTTGCTTTAAACGCGCAAAATGTTTGATTCAAAGTCTTGCGAAATAGTTAAAGAAAATGGCTATATAAAGATTTTTTCCTCTCCTGTAAAATTTTTAAAATGGGACTTAGCAACTTTTCTTTCTAAGCTAGCGATATGTAATACTTCCATATTGATAGTAACGTATCTTCACAATGTATTTTTATTCCGCAAAAAGAAGTATTACATATATGATTACAACAAATAAACGCATTCAACTCATTCTCGTAGTTAAATTTTATGAAGGTTTCACTTCTACCGGGTGTGCACTGCACACACATGATTTTTTTTTTGTTTACGTTTGTATCACTATGTTATTAAAGTGCGATATTTTATGGTTCACTTCTGTATGAAAGCTTTGAAACGAAAATATCGTTTGAAGTTGTTCATCTCGAGAATACTTTACTTAAAGATCCAGTTCATATATTGTATACAAATCAGAAATATTCGGGCATATTCATAGTCAAAATAAAGTGGATTCTTAAGTTTGTAGCTGCTTGTTAACATAATTTTCAATACAATATCTGTCAAAAAGCTGCTACTAACTTTGGAGTCTACTTTATTTCGACTATGAATGTGCCCCATTTTATTCCAATATTTTCACATTTATTGAAACATAAAAAAATATTGCAATTACATTGTTATAATAAACACATTCCTCTACATATATATATATACCTCATATAACTTTGGAAGGGCAAAATGGAGCAATACATCTGCAAGGTGTGGAGCGCAGATCGAACTGTGAAGAAAACATTTATGTCGGAAGGAACGACAGATGCCATAATAACCGCTGGTATGTACCTTTCAAATAAAAAAAAATAAAAACATTAATTAAAATATGTCGTGTTAGGGCGGGTCAATTTGTAATGGAGATTCTTTCGATTATACGCGTATTGCAGAGAAGGACTCTACTTGTAATTCTAAGCAATTGTGGCGAAGAAACCATGGGTCTAAAATCAATATGGAGTTTGCCAAATTGCGAAAATAGTTGTCTTAGCATTTTTCTGTAGTGTAGTAAAAAGAGCTCTCAAATTTTGTTTGAAAAAATGATAAAATTTCTTAAAATTTCCATCAGATGGCGCAACAGAGAAAAATTTTCCATTTTCTACGAAAGCTATTTTCGCAAATTGGCAAACTCCAAATTCATTTTAGACTCATGGTTTCTTCCGCAAATTTGCTAAGAATTCCACGTAGAATCCTCCTATGCTCTACGCGCCTAGTCAATAAAAATTTAACCGACCTAATGTCGTGCTCATGCTAACGTAGAAAATCTTTTATTTTTAGCTTCAAATTATGGCATACGAGGTAATAAGATCGTTCTGGAATGCGATGGCACCGAAATCTGCGGTGATGATGTCCTGAAATATTATTTGAATGAAAAAGCCACATTGATGATGCTAGCTGATGAAGAATGGTGCACGCAAAGGTCAATTGAAATACTAAGTACGTATATGTATGTACAGTTAAAATTAATCAACTACATACATACATACATATTTTTTACATCTAATGAGATAACATATCGTCGTTACCATGTCTAAATATCAACCTAGTCTAGATATTAACTTCGCTGTAGATAGCATATCAAAGACATACAATTAGAAGACTCTAGATGTCGCCCCGCCAGAAGAAGTTAAATATTGCGTCTAAAAATATGCACTACATACGCTACAGCCGAAATGAAATTCATTCCGGCTATATGCATGAATGTACATATGTATGTATGTATGTATATACTCAACTTGAGCACTAAACATTTTGCTTGCATAGTCTTCTGTTCTCTTTTTACTGCAAGTTGAATTATTTTAGTATCTATTGCACAGACAAGACTAAGAAGTATAAAATAAATATAAAACTTTTTAATATACCACGCTCTTATCAATGAACTTCAAATTAGAAAATAATATTTTTCAGTCCCATAGAATTAGTTTTGATAACTTCTGATTTTGAAATTTTAGCAAGAGTCATTATAAACAATTTATGGGATTGAAAATAAAAAGCGTGGGGCGCATGTAATAGACCTGAATTTATATGAAGGGTAATACATATATGTATGTATGTGGATATATGAATAACGACCGCTTAAAATCGATCTCAAATTTGTAATTTCTCTGTAGAAATTTTAGGTCTATTTTATATAGTTTGACTATTGTCAATTAAATCTAATGCTTTGTATTGTATGCGCTCCACGTGTTTCGTTTTCAATCTCATAAATGGATTATAATCACTTTTGCCAAAATTTCAAAATCAAAAGTTATCAAAACTAGTTCTATGGGACTGAGTAATATTATTTTCCAATTTTTAGGCCATTTATAAAAGCGTGATATATTAAAAAGTATTTTTTTAATTTCATTTTTTTTCATTTACGGTACCTTGCCCATGCGTTTAGAATGATACGTAAGTTGGCAACTCGTCGAATTTCTAGTCTTCTTAGAAGCAGAGAATACTGCCTTTGACAAAGTGTCGTATCCCACACTTTTTCCTAATGACAACAACATTTTGTATAACAGTTCTCCTGAAAAGTACCCATTTTCACATTCGATAGTGTGAGAGATAATAGCGGCGATATGTATAATTTTCTATTCTCTAGGCAACGATGTGATTCAACCTAAACATGCTAATCAACAGCAAGAACAGTTTTTGCTTATGACTGCGGATACGGCCGTTGAATCATATGTTACATCCAAGGTTGCAACCAGCGACTCATTTTCATCTTCTTCGGAAACCGGTGAACCAGCGAAACAACATTTTAAGAATTTCAGCATACCATGGCATAAGGTTCCATCGGACTTAATGAACTTGCTAAATACTCAACAAAAATTGGGTAAACGATTAAACACATTAGCTAATTGCATTGTGGATGAATTGCGAATGTATTCCTCATTCATACCGATGTGTATTTTACGATCAGTGACGCGGGAAGCCGTTGCCAAGTTTCCCGCTTCGTTACTGGAAAAAGATTGCGAAGGGAATATTATATCAGTTACAACAATCCCCTTGCTAACCATAATGCGGAACAGGAACAATTTTTTAAATCGTGCACCGAACCCCAAGAGCTGCAGTCTAACGCCAAATATTCCCTTAGCTAAAAGACGTCGAACAAACGTTCTTAAAACAACTTGTAGTAACTGGCAACCAGTGGATTTGATATCTCCTGAAACCATTGCAACCTTAAATAAAAAAAAAAAATATTTAATGAATTTGTATAAAATGCAATCGGACTTCCAGTCAATGGAATTGATAAAATCACATATGAAAGATTGCTTTCCATTACAACGCTCAAATTTTAATGAAATGGACCCATCACCCACAATTGAAAGCATCAAAAGAGATTGGCCATATATTTTCAGCACCGAATGCTTGAATCAACATTTTGGGCAGTTAATGAACACTGATCCAGATCTTTTTGATATGAATTTCAATAAAAATCGAGAAGAAACTGCAGCATTCTTTGAACACCTACAAGGTAAACATAACTTACTGAAAGAGGCACACCAAACAAACTACATTATTAAAAGCATAGCTAAGTATTTCAATGAAAATGCAAACTACTTGTTCGCCATTTTCGAGGTAAATTTTGTTTTATAAAGCCAAGTGCGGAAGTAATAAAATATTGATATCTTTAGATTGGAGCCAATTTGGACACAATAGTAGAAAAAGTACCTACCAATACTCCTTTTGTTGCCTTTGTAGGTAAGTTACCACGCCTATACCGTCATTTGATTGCTAGAATTAATTTTATATTTGTGTCTGTTTTCAGAAAACGATGTCGAAAAAGAAACATACAACTGCTATATATTTATTGAAAAAACTTTAGTGTCACACACTTTGGGCGACGGAGACATGTTTAAATTCCTTAAACAAATTATTCAATATTATTTTGTTTTTAATATAATATATCCTCCGGAAACATCGCAAACGATGGAATTTTTCGTACGTTTTTTTTATAAGTTCTACCCAAATTCTTCTCGAGGAGCAAAAAAAAATATTAATAACATTCAAAAGGTAAACAATTTAATTGTTAAACTCACCAATTTTCAAATTAATAATTGCTAAATGACAGACAGTAAAAGGTCAAAATTACTCATTTCCAAATACCGTGTGCTCGAATTCATTTGTATGTCGTCGCCTGGATAAAAGATTGTCGTTTGTTACATTCGGTTTTGGGAAATCGCCTTGGAAGTTTGTAAGGCGATTTCGCAAAAAACGCGGCGATAGATTTTCTCAAAAGTCGCGGAGAATATTTCCAGAAATTCTTAAATTATTTTATTTTTATTGTTTATTATTTATTATTTATTTTTGCGTTGAAGGCTTTTCTTTAGTAAAATTTTGTCGTATGCTACATTTGTCAACAATTTCGCAGCCACTTTGTATGATAGACGACACAATGTGATACAAATTTGTACTTTTTACTCAATATCTCAGAAACTGAAAGAGATATCAAAAAATGGATATCGACATTTGAAAGATTTTGATTAGTTTAGTATAATTATGTAGAGTATAAATACTTTAAACTTTCATACTTGTTATTTTTTATTGATTTCAATTTATGATCTTTCATATTTTAAGACGTCCACCAAAATATTTAGGAAAAATATTAAGATTTAAGTGAGCTGGACCGATTTGAAAATACCTCCAAAAATTGCGCTTTTTATGAATAAAAATAGTTTCTTAACATTTTTTTTTGAAAAAATTCCCTCAAATGACAAAAAGGTTTAAGCTTAAAATATTTGCATACAAATATTTAAAAAAAAATAAAAAAAAAATGTTGAACGGAATCGTAATGATGAGATTTTTGATGCTGTTTTTTAACTTTTTTCAAAGATTGGTATAGGAAAAAATTGAATAACTGAACCTAAACTCTTCCGATTTAGACTTAGGAGGTGTCATTGGAAACGTATTTTCTCACCCTTTTTATTTCTTTGCTAATAAACTCATTCAAAGGATGGAAGAGAAAGGTAGGATGAACGAACGTCATTCAAAGTTGAATTAAGATGTGTTGGTATTCGAAAAAAACAAGATGGGACACGAATGACGCTTTTTTGGTCAGAACTAAAAACAGCGTGAAAATACCTTTCTACTGAGATCCCATAAGTCTAAATCAGAGCATTTTTGGGCCAGTTATTCAAGTTTTTCGTAAACCAATCTTTGAAAAAAGTAAAAGAACAACATCAAAAATCTCATTCTTACGATTCCGTTGAAAATATTTTCAAATATTTTTATGCAGATTTTTTAAGCTTAATCTAATTTGTCATCTGAGGGGATTTTTTTCAAAAAGTTCTTTAAGAAACTATTTTTATTCATAAAAAACTTCATTTTTGGAGGTATTTTCAAATCGGTACAGCTCGCTTAAATCTTAATATTTTTCCGAAATATTTTGGTGGACATCTTAAAATATAATAAATTTTGTAATCCCGGCGGGAAAACCGCAACTTTTTTTGGTGATGCAGTCTAATGTACATACATACACTTGTGGTCAGCTGATTAAGTTAAGTGACATTTTGACCAGTTTTGCCTATTTTTCTTTTGTTTATTTATTGTTTATAATTTTTTTATAAAAGTCTGGCACATCACATATCCAGCACACAAATCCAAATTTCAAACTTCTTAAAAAATATATGAAAATTCAAGCATTTTCCTCCATCAAAAAGTAGATGTCGATCGTACTTTATATGGGAGAAAATGCTCAACACCGTCAACCAAAAAAATTATTAAAATTCAACACGATTTTCTAGCGTCTTGAAATTTGCATTTTAAACTACTAATTTAATGGGCTACAAAGCTGCAACCTGAAATTTTTCTAAAAATTTGTAAAAAAAACTTGAAAATTTTTGGGTATAGTTGTTAAAGTTTATTGAATTTTTATAATTTTTGTAAGAAGTTTGATACGTGGATTTATGTGGTGCTGGTTACGTGATGTGCCAGAATTTTATAAAAATATTATAAACATTAAATAAACAAAAGAAAAATAGGCAAACCTGGTTAAAATGTCACTTAACTTAACCAGTGACCACAAGGCTATTACGTTCTTTGTTAATATTATAAAAATATATCTTACGATATAGACTGCATTATTTACTCAATTTGTACTAAATTATGGATACAATATTTCGGAAACTAAAGAAGATATCCAAAAACTGATAAGACAAATTAGAAGATCATATTTTCAATATGTAACTGCATCTATGTACATATGTACAGCTAAAATCGTCAAAATGGCGCTTACGAAAATATTTTATTCAGGCGACGAAGTGGAAATCTAATTTTTGGGGGTTTTGTACTACATACCGTGAATGTCAAAAGTAAGTCAACAGTGAGTTTTTTGCAATATTTATAGTGTTTTTATCACACAAACAACTTTGCTAATTTTTATATATAACATTAACCGTGTAAATCAAAGTATTGTAATACATTTTACCGAGAAATGTTGCCTTCTTAGTGCCCTTTACGTATGTACAAACACTAAGAAAAAGGTAATGAGGAGGCAACATTTTTTGTAGAAAAGAAAACGCCATAAGTTCATGTTATCAGTTTAATTGTTTTAAATTTTTGAAATAGGTGGCAACCCGCCTCTTCTTCATCTATCTATCTTCAGCAGTAAGCTTTCTTAAACCTCTTTAGTTTGATACCCATTTTGCAGTATTTAATTTTTCTTAAATTTTTCAAACAGGTGGCAACCCAGCTCAAGAATATTTTCGATAATAAGATTTCTGAGACCTCTTCAGTTTGGTACGCATATTATGATATTCAATTTATCGTACCAATTCAATTGAATTAAATTTAATAAATAGATGGCAACCCTCCTCAAAAATATTTTCGGCACACATATTTTGATACCTTTATCTCATCAATTAATTATATACTCTAATTTTTTTTTGTTTTAAACCATCCGGAAATTGTAACGAACAAACAAAAAACATTCAAATCGGTTAAGCCGTTTTTGAATTTTAGCAACAACATTTTTATAAGAAATGTACGAAAATTTTTTATATGAAGACCATTGTTAATATTGTAAAAACAACAATCTGAATTTGAAAACCACCCCCTCCGGAGGCTTATAGTTTTTAAGCAATTCGTTGTTAAAGTTGC